AATCGTCCCCTCCAAAGACAACATTTTATTTCCTCTTTGTCATCAATCATGAGGAGTCAGGCCAGATAGAGACAAGGAAAGCACAGTTGCAGCTTGTGTGCATTTCTGTCTAGGCTTCCCTCTCGGTACTTTAGCACTCACTGAGCTTTGTCCCCTGGGGTTGCCTGGGCTCTGGCCCAGCTGCTACCTTTGTTGAGAAGACCCCTCACCTCTCAGCCATCCTTCTCCTTGTCCTAACTTGTGTTTATACTCCAGAACTCTATATGGGTTTCTTATTCCCTCATAATTCTTCATACCTCCTGTCTGGATTGGATCCTTCGTGTTCTCAAAATGCTTTGTGCTTCACCCATTGAAGGATGACCCCACTCGACTGTAATTATCCTCTTCCACACCACTCTCTTATCTCCTCCACAAACTGATCAGCTCCCTGAAGACAAGTGCCAGGCTTCGTCCTTCCAGCCTCAGTGCTCTGTGTATCCATCCAGTATAATTTGTGACTTGAACAAATTCATGTATCTTTACATAGAGCAGGGAAGCAGTATTGCATCAAAATTAAAGGTACAGTCTTTTGCCACTTTCTAGCTGTGTGACTGGGAGTACATTAATACTCTGAGACACAATTTTATGTTCTGTAAAATGGGAATAATAGGTTTACCTACTTCATAAGTCCTACAGTTTGAATGTGTTCCCTCCAAAATGCAGGTCTTGCTAGTGCAATAGCATTAGGAGCTGAAGCCTTTAAGAGGCAATTAGGCCATGAGGATTTCCGTGTATGGGATTAGGTACCCTTAAAAAATGCTTATGGAGGAAGTTTATCCTTCTCTTGCCTTTCTGCCTTCCACAATCTGAGGATGCAGCAAGAAGGCCCTCACCAGATGCCAGCACCTTGATCTTGGACTTTGCAGCTTTCAGAACTGTGAGAAATAAATTTCTGTTCTTTGCAAATTACCTAGTCTCAGGTATTTTGTCACAGACCCACAAAACAAAGACAATGGGAGAGTTTCAAGAATGTAATTAGATTTCCCACATTAAAAATATGAAGCACAAAATTACCACATGTAGGATATACTCAAAGAATGTTATATATGATAATAATAACTGTAATAGTTATCAATAGCTATGGCAGTTACTATTATGATTATCATCTGCTCTGTGTGTTTTGTTCCTAAAGTCACAGATTTTACTCTATTAGGTAAGAACCCAAAGAAAAGAGCCAGCTGCCTCTTCCATCTGTCATATCCCAAGAGTCACACCCAAGATCCCCATGTCCTCTGCCCATCTGATTACACTTGCATCTTGTTCCTCTGTGGTATTTCTCACACTTGCCTAAAAGTCATAGCCTTCGCCTTTGGGCTAACGACAAGCTTCTGTATACTGGAGTTTCCACACAAAGGTATTTCAAGGCCCTTCTGTCCAATTATAAGAGTTTGTTGGCTCCTTTCATTACATATTGTTCTCACTGGTTTTTATTTTAACCTGTTCGCCGGGAAAAGATAAAAGTTCAACGGCGCCAAGAATAAAGATTCTGAGAGGTAGCTGGAGCACAGGGGCTTCCAAAGGTATAAAACAACGTGAGAATTCTTCTCTAGTATGGTCTAATTCACCTCCTGAAAAACCAGCTTAACAGGATCTCACCTGGAGGGTCTATGACATCTCACGAATCCTCATGGAAAAGCTGATCTTAAAGCAAAGGTACGGCTTTCCACAGGGTAATGTTGGCCATATGGCAGACAACGGTCAGGCTAGAATGCAGCAGCAGGCTTCCCTTGTTGTAGAACAATCCTGAATTCCTTCATCCCATCTTTCTGCCAAGACCACACCACCTCGCTTCCTACCTCACAAGAGATTTGTCTTACACTTTGAATACAAGATCATGTGGTATTTGGTGTGCGTATTTTTCAATGTTGATCCCCTTTTCTGTGACTCTAATAAGGATTTATTGAAAATCTGTTACGTCTCAGACTTATTACTAAAGGTTTTGCATCTCTCATCTCATTTAATCCTGAAACACTATGAGATAGTTATCGTTAGTCCCATGTTACAAATGAGAAAACGGAGGCTAACAAAAATAAACAATTTGCCAAAAGTATAGTCATTAAGTGGTGGGGAAGGGAAAGGGTCCATTAATAACAGTCTCCAAGCTTTTAAAAAGTAAGCAAGAATCTTCAAATACCTTACCTTTATACAAAGTATGTGGCTAGGTATGCAAATAGGTATACTACATGTAACAACTGACTTAATATAAATAACCATATATGTATGTATATCATATGTACATAAAAATGTCGGTATGTTCTTATGAAAAATGTAAAAATTAAGATAATGTTTAAGAAATTTACAAGAAACTGTTTTATTCGAGGGATAGGCAGCATTCACATGCATACTGCAGGAAATCGTTCCTAAGGTTGGGGTCAGAGGAGCCTATCTGGCAAGAAGCAGGTTAGAACATGGATTTTGAATGAGAAGCGAGGTATCAAGTCCTGGCTCCACATTAACATGGGAAAGTAACTAAATCTGTCACGCACTGGGGTATCTTCCTTTGTAAAATAAATGGTTATGTTAGGTCAGTGCTTTCCAAATACTGGCCTGTGATCAATTTTTCATTAGTCTGTGGGAAAGTGAGGAAAATAACAATAGACTTACTTATGAAGGTAAATTGATTTATTTTAGAAATCTGTTTAAATGGTTTCCTTTTATAAACACTGGGCATTCTCCCCTGTTTCCTTTGAGCATCCTCACATAGCAAAATTCAAGTGTGCCTTCTATAGTAGAACGCTGATATTAAAGTCTTTGTGTATTTGTGTTGGTCCATAAATCCAAAGGTCTGGGAATCACTAAGTGATCATGAATGTCTTTTCTAGCTCCAAAATTCTAACCACTTCTGAAACCACAAAGAGTATTTAACCGACTCTAAACTAGAAGGAAGAATAAAGGTAAAAGCTTTTACTCATTTTTTCTTGTTTCTTTTTTTCAACTCAGCATTTCCCTAACGTGTCCTGTGACAGACAGACCCATGCTAAGATAGTATAGATCGTCTATAGAAAACTAGATTCTTAGTCCAATGAGTTTGAGAAACAATGGCTTTGAAAAGTTGGACAGGTTTTTTTATTTTTCCTGAGAATAGGCAAACTGCTAACACTGTGATCCCACCAAAAAGACTCCCCAAGTTATTGACAAGAATCAGCTGCCCTCACCCCAAACTCTACCCATTGCAGGACAGACAGAGCACCTATGCCTTGAGCACGGTTTGAAAAAGGTGACTTCAGCTAAACGGTCCTCAGTAGCTTTCACAATAAAGAAAAAACATAGTATTAAAAACAAAACTCGCCATTTCTTTTATAATTATTATAATTTGATGGTTTTTTTTCTCCAAATTACCAAAAACTACAAATATTTTTTAATTTACAAAAGAAACCTGAATGAAAACACTTTGGATTAAAGTGCAATAAACAACAAAAGCTTTGTGGCCATTTTTGACAGCTATTTTTTTTTTCTTTGCCATTATAAATAAAGAAAAATTGTGTCAAGAGATTTGTGTGTAGTGATTGCAACATAATAATTAAAGCACTGGGATTTTGCAGAAGTTTGCAGTAACAAAGTTATGGCTAAATCAAACTATGTAAAAAATTAAAAGTAAAATAAAAGCCATCTGTAGGTATTAAGCCTGAGAAAACCCCCAGATTCTACTCAAATGGTATGTCACTGTTAAATATTCCAATAGTAGTAACAACTAACTGAATGCTTGTGGCTCATAATTGATTTCTTTAAATCACAGTTTTATTGTGATCAAGGAGCAAAACTCTTGGTAGAAAAAGATCTAAAAGTGTTTGTTTTTTATTTTTCTTTAATTGTTCGATCAGAATTGAGAAGGTTTACTTACTCTTTTCTATTGCTGTTCACATCATCATGTGAAATATCAACTAGCCAACTGCTTCAGCCTTCACAGGCTGGATTCAAGTTTCACTTTACCCACCAAGGAAAGAACAGTTTTCACTTGGGACAAGATAATCCTGGGGCAAAGTACCCAGAGAGGGGACCCAGGGATGATCTTTTGGATATTCTGACACCAACAACCTTCCTTTCTGACTTTAGACACACCAGGTTCCTTACAAGCCTGCGGCTCAACAATACCTCTGATGTTTCCATCATGACTGTACGGTAAATTCCAGCCTGTTTTTCATAATCCTGCTGACTACAGCAGTCTGCAACCATAAAAAGCCTTCACAGACCTAGAGTTGGCTTAGAAAAGTGTCTCTGCAGATGAACAAAAGTACATGCAACATTTGTGTTCAGAGACAGGAGAGAGGCGGGAGTCTCTTGTTTTGATTCTGATGGGCTCACAGGGTTGTTTTTAGGGTCTAACTTTAGAAATTGTAATTTTCTTCTGATAACATTTGTAAACAAAATACCAACACTAAAATGAGAGCAATTTAGCCAGGAAAAGGGGGAGTGTCCTGTCCAACAGATCAAGCCCTCTTCCAAACTCCTCTGGAGGGCTGTGTCTGCAAATGAGCACACAATACTTCGGATGTGTGGACTCCCTCAGCCTCCTAGTCAACAGGTATGTTTGAGGTTCACACCAGAGAGTCAAGGTTTCAGAATTAGCTTCTTTTGAATCTTAAGCTAGTACTGATTCAGTCTCTGGGGAGGAGGATAAAAACACCAAACGACTCTTTTTAACAGACTATAATATCCATTCACATAACATGATTACATACACAAGTACTACAGTTTGAAAGCATACAGTTCAAGCTCTGATGAACAGCTGCTCAATGTAATAAGCTGGTTTTCATTTTTGCAATCAAGAGCTGTAATTGAAAAGTAAGCAACAGGAAGGGAAAGTAAAAGTTTAAGCGACCCCTTCACACATTTGAGCTTTGACTCTCTGAAGAATAACTCTACTCCCCCCATTTGGTAAAGCAGATCGTATTTAAAATCAACATTTAAAAATGACTATATCTTAATATTATTTTTAAAACATAAAACATCAGGCTACTTGCCTTTTGGCAATTTCTGTGCATTTCCCAGGACTAGTGTAATACTTCCACAGAGAAGTAGGCACCCCAAGCTGGAGAGCATGTTGCATTTGCCACCTCGCACGGGGAATGATGCTGGTGGGTGCCTCGCAACCCTGGAGCTGCATTTAAGTGGACTGTCTCCCAGTGACAGAGGCGGGCGGCTGCACTTAGCTGTGCCGTGGGCTTACTCACAGGGGGTGGAGACAAGATGACATCACACCCTTTCCCACACACACCAAAAAAAAAAAAAAAAAAAAAAAAAAAAAAAAAAAGCACAACAGCAAAAACATATCATCCCATTTCTTTCTTTCTGCTAAGTTATAACTGTGTCTTTTCCCTCTGTGATATAAAAATTGAAATTCTGGCAGATCTGCATTTATGAAAGAAGCATTTAGGCAGTTTTGAATCTGATGAACTATTTTACAGAATCCAGAAATGACATATTAAAAATTATTAAAATCTTAAAAATAGAAAATAAAACCTTATTAAGAAGGAAACTGCTTTTAATTATCCAGTAAACCACCCAAGTCTTTTAAATGGGAGTAAATTCATAAAAATATACTTTGAGCCATTCTGTAGTTCCTGTTATGAAAAACATTTAAGAGTAAGTCTTTGGCTACAAAGCTATGCATTATGTATAATACATACACGTATACACATATATTCTACAGATGTAGATGCAGAGATATAGAGCAATATTGAGCTATCTGAGCCTCAACTATGGACAGAGTTCTGTAAGAGAATTTTTACCTACTTTGCTGTATTTTAATCTTCATAGTGCCTCTGCAAGAGATATGGTATTAACCCCATTTTACCATTAAGAAAAACTGAGGCACAAAGGTTAAGCATCATGACAATGCTGGAATATTCTACTGGTTAACGATGGATGCCACTTACTAATGAAATGCCCTTGAGCAAACTTCATCTCTATATTATCAGTATTGATGATATTTAAACGCTTACTCTGATTGAATCAGTTTACACATGTTAAGACATTTATTCCTCGAAACAGTTTAAGAGGCAGACATTGCCATCATCTCCATCTAATGGATAAAGAAACTGAGCGCAGAGAGGTCAAGAGAAAGCCCAGGGTCACAGAGGTGGCATTTTAAGCTGTCCATTTAACTCTAGTGCTTCCACCCCTAATTACTAAATTTTAAATTCCAAAATAACGATGACGGTACCAATTTCATAAATGTGTTAACAGTGTTTTGAAAGCGGTTGCCATAATGCCTGACACACAGGAAGCGTTTACTAAATGGCAGTCACTGAGAAGAAGAATACTGACAATGATAAGCCCCCAATTCAGCAGAACTATCATTCTAACCTGGGTATATTTACCTCTGAGGTCCACATGTGTGTCCTTCCCCCCTACATCACGTTGCTCAAAATGTATAGCCATGCGGGTGGAGTGGCTGCCTTAATCAAGTAATTTAAACATTGTTGGTATATTTATACTGATGCTTTAAAAATAGCTTACCTCATTGGGGTGCTGTAGCTGAATCAAAAACAGCAAGAGAAAAATTAAATAACACTGGTCAAATGAAATTCTAGTTAGAAAACTTACAAAAAATAAAAAAAGAAAGAAAGAAAAGAAACATCAAAGAGACAGCCCCATCTTCCAAATAAAGCGTGAGAAGGCACCTTGTTAAAGTCATTTAGAGCTGGCTGAGTCTGAGCTCTCGCTGTAGGAATGCCTTGGCACTGACTAGAGGAGGGACAGGGTTATTTAGCAGGTCTTTTTCATCTTTGATTTTTTACTTGAATAGGCAGCTCCCTCCAACCCAGGTTAGGACATTTATCCAGCTGGCACTGCACGTTCTGTTCCTATATGCCAGTGCCATCCCGTTAAGCCAGTGAGGCCACTGTGTTCGCAGGAAATGACAGGTTTTCTGAGTGGAACAAACCCAGCAGAAATATCGAAAAGAAGGCTGGTTCTTCCAAACCTTTATGAGGGGCTGGTGGAAGAGTTAGGTGATGAAATGCAGGAACTCGCCCCTGCTTGGCCAGCAGGCAAAGTCAAATCCACCTTAGCAATCGTTATTTTCAGTTTTGCAACTGACTGGAGGCTAATTAAACGAAGTGCAATCTCTAATTATTGTGTCAGAAAAAAAAAAAACGGTTGCATTATCTCAGTAGGATGCTTGAGCATTCAGTGAAGACGTCGAAAGTATTAGGGCTCCTCTCATACTAGGGAGGAGTAACATTGCAGAAAGGAACGTGCCTCTTTTTACCACTCTCTCTAGTGTCTAGACCATAAGAATGCAGTAAGTATATGATGAGCGAGTGTCAAATGAAACAGAATTCATCAATTCCTCCAAACAGTCTAAGGGTTAGTTTAGATTATACCAGAGAACACTTGAGTATGACCTATAATATACAGTTGTTGGGAGACAGGTTTTCAAAGGTCACTAATGTTTCTGCTCATCTTATGAGCAGAGGCACTACTTCCCTGTGTTCCAGACCATCTTGTAAAGCGTATTTGCCTATAAAATATCCTTGGAAGACAGAAATTTGTGTTCTGTCCCATGTGATAAAGGTAACATCTCCCTCTGGGGCAATGGGAATACATGATCACTTCCCTTGATAGATTTCAGTTCTCTAAGCTTGTCATTCCTCTTCTGTAAAATAACCCATGGCACGTGTAGGTATCACCTATACGTCTTTGTGCTGTCCTGTGAGAACTGGGGCTCCTTGAACTAGCGCAAATGCTGGTATTCAGACGGCTGCGGCTGCTGTAATAAACTGTCTTTTCCCTTGACCCAGGTGGTTTGGGTCTTCTGCCAGCCTCTATGAACTGCGTGTTAGATCGCACACAGCGTAAAAAATCTCAGATCCTTCACAGTTCCTGAAAATAGTACCGGCCCACGTTAAAATAGTTTATTAAATAATGCTTTAGTATAGTGCACTGGGTATAACACCTATTATAAGAAGTCTATTATCAGAATCAGCCATGAAACCGCATATAGTACACAGTAAGAGTGTTGCCAGACATTGCTTACTAAACCGTATCTTAAAAAATAACAACCCTGGAGAAAACCTCTGACTGCTTGTGTCAAGTATGAAAAGCTGTGGCTATTTTTCCTAAGCAACTGTATTTATTTTTTGACATTGTAACCAGGTTTCTCTCTCTGTGTTGACTGGTAGAAAATTAGAGCCAAGTGCATCCCCCACCCATATTAAGTGTATAGGTCTTTGTGATGTCCATTTTTTTTGACATAATTCTTGGCTTTATTTTTTGTCCCCACCCTTATTTTTTTTTTTTCTTTTTTTTTTCTTTTTTTTTTTTGAGACGGAGTTTCGCTCTTGTTACCCAGGCTGGAGTGCAATGGCGCGATCTCGGCTCACTGCAACCTCCGCCTCCTGGGTTCAGGCAATTCTCCTGCCTCAGCCTCCTGAGTAGCTGGGATTACAGGCACGCGCCGCCATGCCCAGCTAATTTTTTTGTATTTTTAGTAGAGACGGGGTTTCACCATGTTGACCAGGATGGTCTCGATCTCTTGACCTCGTGATCCACCCACCTCGGCCTCCCAAAGTGCTGGGATGACAGGCTTGAGCCACTGCGCCCGGCCCTTATTTCTTGCTTATTTTACTTGGAGTCTTAATTTGTGTGATTTTATACGTTGTTTTAATTTGTTTCTGGAGCAAAGTGAGGTAAAACAAACAAACCCCACATACAGATGTTGTGTCAAAAAACATGTGTCAAAAGCTATAAAGTGGGAATCTGGGAACCTGTTTTCTTGACTTCTCTTTGCAGCAGTAGACTTTGATAGAATTTTGGTACAATGATTGTATGCTATCATTTTTAAGAGATACTTTCTCCTTGGGGAAGTCAGTGAAATCTGCGAGACTAGAAGACACCTAGATCACTGCTCAAAATAAGTGTCATCGTTTTCAGTCATGCCATGTTTGATTTTTTAAGGGTTCAACATTAATTTCATTATTTCAAATGAAACCTCTATGAAAACTCATACATCTCTCAAATCTTGGAAGTCAACTCTGTCCAGTCATTTAACCTATTCACCCACATTTGTAGTCTCTCCTCTATAAAGTATTATGCTAGGAGATTTTTTTAAAGGCTTGTACATATGCACTTTCTATTTGAAGGTATGCTGTGGTTCTTCTAAGGGATGCTAATGAAAATAATTTTAATAAGATTCATTTGACATAAAAAACTCAGTGATCCATGTTTTCATCCCAAATTTTCTTTCTTTAATCACTTTCCTGAACCAGACCCATAATCCAATTGGACAAGGTCAGAGCATGAAATTCTCCTCCACAATTCCTCTTACATCACCGAAACATGCTACCCCTTCAACACCCAAGTGACATCTGAAGGTCATTCTTCAGTTTGTCTGAGGCATGTTAACCCCTAAAGTTTGGGCTTCATCACCTCGAGGTAATAAGCAACTTATAAAACAGTGTAAAGGATCGATTCATCTAGAAAAGAGCTTATTTAAGACCTAAGTTGAACGTCTCTAAGTTGTCAAATGTGCCTTCCTTGTTCTGTCTAGATTCTGCTTTCTTCATGGAGGTGCTGAGTACCTAGCTGAACTTGTCCAGGTGACGGGAATATTTTTTTTACTTAAGCTTCAAACGATGTAAGAATTGATGGAGTCAAGAGCTGAGTGAGGCCGGGCGCCGTGGCTCATGCCTGTAATCCCAGCACTTTGGGAGGCCGAGGCGGGTGGATCACGAGGTCAAGAGATCGAGACCATCCTGGTCAACATGGTGAAACCCCGTCTCTACTAAAAATACAAAACAGTAGCTGGGCATGGTGGCACGTGCCTGTAATCCCAGCTACTCAGGAGGCTGAGGCAGGAGAATTGCCTGAGCCCAGGAGGCGGAGGTTGCGGTGAGCCGAGATCGCGCCATTGCACTCCAGCCTGGGTGACAAGAGTGAAACTCCGTCTCAAAAAAAAAAAAAAAAAAAAAAAAAAGAGAGAGAGAGAAAAAGAGCTGAGTGAGAAACGTTAAGTTAGTAAACCGGAGATGGGACTCTGAACGGGAGGATATGCCAGGGGAGGGTCCTGAAAGTGAGATTACTGCAGCAGGGGGTCTGAGAGCCGGGGGCTTGCAGGTGTGCAGCACGTTGAGCAAGTAGGTGGATGTGGTCCTGGGAACTTACCTAGGACCACTCCAATTCAACTCGTGCGTATCTTTGAGATATGGGAGGAAACCCGAGGACCCAG